AAGATTTTATTTATTTATTTGACAGAGAGAGACACAGCGAGAGAGGGAACACAAGCAGGGGGAGTGGGAGAGGGAGAAGCAGGCTTCTGACAGAGCAGGGAGCCTGATGTGGGGCTCGATCCCAGGGCCCTGGGATCATGACCTGAGCCAAAGGCAGATGCTTAACGACTGAGCCACCCAGGTGCCCCTGCATATTAAATTTTTGTTGCAAATATTTTCCTTGGCTTATTGTTTATTTTTTGCTTACACTTGTTTTTTTTGTTTGTTTGATTTGGTTTTTACTTTTTTAAAAATCAGTTGTGGATTTGTTTTGTTTGGTTGGTTGTTTTTTGGCTGCTAGGTTTTATGTCATAAAGAGCTTCCTGTACTTCAAAATTAATTTAAACATTTCATCCATATTTTCTTTAAGTATTTTTATACTCCCTTTAAATGTGGTATATCTGGAATTTATTTTGGTTTAAGGAATGAAGGTAGAGAGAGAGCCAGCCTTAAGTTTTCCGAATGGCTAGCTGTGGTCTAAACACCATTTTTTGAGCACTCTCTCTTCTTTCCATAGAATCCTTACATTTGAGATTTGAGGTTTTCTGATAAATATTTTGTGTTTACAGTACCATTTAGGTAAAACAGTATGGAGATGCGTTGGGAAAGCTGTGCATGTAATATTTATTACAGGATTCCCGTGTAAATTAAGGCTGCTCCTACAACTAAACAGTACAAGGAATAGCTTATGATCAGAAGAAAAAAAGCATAGCATGCTTATGGGTTTTGCTTAGATTAGGAGATGAGATGTGTATGTGTCAGAAGGGAGATCTTAGAATATGTAAAAGTACTAGAATCAAAGTAAACTAAGGAGAGACCATAATAATCAGGTTGCAGGTTCACTCCCAGTGTATCATGTAATAACCCTTTTTGTTAAAAAACAAAAAAACAGTCTAAACTAAGGAAATTATTTTCATGACAATGTATTTTAAAAATTGGATGTTCTTAAAATAATAGACATTTTTATAGAAATTTGATTCTGTGATTTGTTGACATTTATAACTAATGTACTGGAATTTATTGATCTTATTGAAGGAGAGACCTCACTGTGACATTCCTATGTGACAAGTGGAGTTTTATGATTAGTCTAACTTAAGACTGAGTATAAGGGTACTTAGTAAGCTATAAGACATGTCTTCTGAGTCATAAAATCTCATTACTTATCATTGAAGTCCTTGATCAGAGTGGGAGTAGTGAAGCTTGTTAAAAGCATAGTGGCACACAGTATGTGTTGTTGCATTTCTCCTGCCTGGGTGCATTGGTTCAGGGAAACGGTAGGACTGTAACTTGTAAAACAGAACAGACTATGATTGAAGCAAAAAGGAATGAAGATAAAAGTTACTTAAGGGAAAGATCCAAGTTTTGGAGAGGCAGATGAAACTTCTTGTTACTTTTCGTTTTTGCCAAAGAATGGGAGCAAACATGAGTTGAGAGATGATGTGCGTGAAAGGACAGGTTCTCTGTGTTGCTGCGGGACACATTTGGGATTTACAGATAAGTGAATGTTCAAGGCATCAAGTAGAAAAAGTGTATCTATCAGTTATGTTTTCTCTGAAATTTACTGAAACTGAAAGGAGCAGGGACCTATGACATATGTGGTAAAGGAAGGAGGAGTGACTGCTTATATATAAATAAGACCAGCATTCAGTTTTCCTTGATTAAAATTTGAATGTATCAAAATGTAAAACTGTTAGAATCATTTTATGAACATCAGTGGGAAATGAACTTCCAAGAGCTTATTTATTTAAAAAAGGGTATTTTCACTTGATGCAAACCATAACCTAAAACCTAGGTAAAGCTCAAAACAATTCTTTTCTTCTTTATTCTAAGTATTTAAGTGTAAATTACAAGTTATTACTTCAAAGAATGGCTCTGAAACCTATTAACTTCAGAGTCAGACCATTTAATTCTGTTACATTTGTCTAGATATTAAATGTAGTTGGACTTCACATGAAAAATTACAGAAGATAAGCGAACCCAGGAAATGTGTTTACTACTCTTGATTTAAGGTGAACATCAAGCTTAAATTTAAGATTCATTTTGATGTGTTTTGGTAATGTACCATGTTCCCACAAAATGAAAGGCTTTCATTGGTATACATAGATCCAGCAGAGAAATGCAAAGCATTAAACAGTAATGTTGTTAGTATAGACTCTAGTGATAATTTAGTAATTCTATATAATGGAAGTATATGAATGGTGTAAAAAAAAATCTCATAAGCTATTTGTCTTCATTACACTGTAGTTAGGACCGATTCTTGAAGTGCAACTTTGGCAGCAGAACTTCTGAATTTTAAATTACAGCTTCAGTTGAATGAAGGACTCTTATATTAAGTGATTTTTGAAGGTGCTTGGCTGGTTTAACCTTGCGAAATAGTGTGAGACATTTATATTTGGGATTGAAACTACCAGTGCTCTCCAAATGGAGGAGAATTAATTTTCAGGATTAATGAGGATTTTGGAAATATAAGCTTCACACTACAGAGACCAAATAATGGCTGGACGTCACTTTCAGCGTAAGATTTAGGCTTCTCAGTGGATTTTGTTTTAAATCCTGTAGTCTCATTCTCTTGTCATATAATATATACTGCCCTCCTCCCTTTCATGGAAACATAGCAATCCTTATTTTCTGTCTCCTTAGCATGATAGCCCAGACTTGAAATGGTAGTCCAGAAAGCAAGGATCCCACTTGCTGAGGTCTGGAACCCGGCTCTCCTGTTCAGCCTTTGGCTTCCAGCGCTTAGAAACATTCAGTACTTGTGGAATGAATGAATGCCTGTTTTGACTGTAGAAACAAGTTACTTTTCATGTACTACCACTGTGGCTGTTGGAATTCGGAGTTTCTAAACACAGAAACATATATTTCTAGGGCCAGCCCGTTGTTCTGGTTCAGCATTATACTTCCTTTGCTTATCTTGGTTTATTTGCATAAAGAGAGCTAAGTTGCTATCTAGTGTCATTAGCTTCATTAATGATATTTTTATATTTAACTTCATAAAAAAAAGGAACGTTTCAGAATCTCAAGAGATGAATAAAATACTAGTGTAGCTTTGTAGAACCGCCTTGGTATTAAATTTTCATTGTTACTATTACGCCCGGCAGCTGATGGGATAAGAAGAGCAGCCTTTCGTTCTAAATAGGATTGTGATGCTCTGGATAGAAATGTGTACATTTTCATTTCTCTGTGATAAAAATGGCTTCTGATATTTTATATATTTTAGTGTCATGTTAGAGATTTCATTCCATGATCATTTGTTCATTCACGTGTATTTTTATTTTTAGCTCTAAGCGAAAGACATGAGGCCTAAGACTGAGATGAGGTTGTTTTGAGGCCATCTGATTTCTGACTAGAAGGTGTGCGATCGCCTCGTCCTGAAACCACTTCAAACAGAATGGTAATGGCAAAACCTAAGAGAAAGAGAGGCCTTCATGTTTTTCCATGTCTGTTCTCTTATCCCAATTCCTTCCTCCTTAAGAAAAAAAAATCTTAAGTTGTGAACAAAACGTATTAAACAACATGCTGATATATTCTAACTAAACTGGTTCAAATGTAAAGAGTTGTGTAAATCGACATATTAATTAAGGCTTTTAAAGTTTAAACTTCTTAGTGAGCTCTAGTGAGCTACTTAACTAGTGACAAAATATTTATATGGAAACACCTAAGCCATTAGGAATTTGCAGATTGAAATAATTGTCTTCCTTTGAAAACGAATGGGGTTTGCTCTTAAAAGGGACTGCAGACTTAAGTTTTTCAGAATAGAAAGTAAGGGTTCTTGTCACAGCTTTCTTTTGCTGTCACAAAAAATTTTGATGTCTTATGGATGCTTTTTTGTTTTTCTTTTTAAGATGTAAAGTCTTATGAAGAATGTTAGTGGTTATCAATTAACTCTGCTTTAATTATTGCAGGTAACTTAGTTCAAAGTCTGTTTCATAGTTGAGGAGAAGAGCACTGTTTGTCTTTATTACAGTAAAACTTTTTTCGGGGCTGCTGCTGTTTATTAAGTTTATTCCAGTGGACCATGTCCTGTTAAAATAATGATGTAGCAGAGCTTAGAAAAGCAGTTACTAGGCTTAATTCCCCCGGGAATAGAAGTCCAGTAGGTTCTTTGCTCAAGTTCAGATTTTATACTAAGCCATCTTTTCAGAGTAAGTGGTTATTTGATCTTTCTTGTACTACGTGTAACAATGTTCATAGCAAAAACAGTATCACAGATTTACTTATATTTAGCCTCAATTACCCACTTGTTTAATTGGTGGCATGCCAAGAAAATGAAATTGTCATCCCACTCCAGAGGATGAGACAGAGGGCAGACTCTATGGAACTCTGACAACATTAATATATTTTTAAAAGTCACACTTACTTTCCTGTTTTTTTCCAGGGGCTCAGTTGTTGCTCTAGTTCTACATTCCCTCATTTCTCTACAAACAGTATTTTCTCCAACGTCAAGAGTGACTTAAATTTTTAAAATGTATTTTTATTTGTATACGTGGCTTTCTGTGATGGTAGACTTATTCACATGCCATGTAAATCCAGGCACTATTTAGGTTGACTGAAGTGTAATGATTTTATGTCTGTGATCTCAGTTTATACTTAAATAAGTCAGTCTAGCTTTGTCCTAAAGAGAAACAGTACACAATAGGTCGTTTCTTTGTTTTCCATATCTGCTGATGTGTTGTTTTATTCTTCTGAAATGTGAACTTTAACTCTTGCTTTTCTATGGAAAAATTAAATAGGCTAATGTAAAAAGCATCTTTTTTTAAGCCTATAGAAGTGTTCATATAGTTCAGTTTCGTGTATTAATGCTTTAACGAGAAACAAGTACTGATTGTTTTTATTTTTTGAAATTCTCATTTCTTATGTTTACCCCAAAATTTTTTTTCAAATAAAGCCTATCTAAATTGACCATTGTCGAGGTTAGAAGACCGTTGAAGGTCATCTTTTCTGTTTCATGTGCTAAAAGTTAATGGGATAGAAGTACAGAGACTTTAACCACTATTAATTGGCTAAAAATATGGTTTCTAAAGGCATGTGTTATGTAAGAATGAAATCAGTAATTGCATTTATGCATCTGTATGTCTGTCACCATAATGATAGCTTTTAAAAGAAAATCTAGAACTTAATGCCACTTTAAAGCCTGAAATTGTAAATGTGAAGATATTTGGACCCAGTAAATACTAAATAGGTGATATGTGTGAGTATAGTTTAATATTTTTTAATAAGTAAACTGCCTTGTTTCTAAGCAAAACTTTAATGTTAGACTTAAGAGCTTATAACTGTAAGATGAGAAAGAAACATTAACTTTAAAATGTCGTTTTGAAAATTATAAAAGTAAATATTGACCTTTTCTAAAAAAGTTTTTCCTTTTGACATTGTTTAATTTTTTTCCTTTTTGTTTTTTAGGTTTGCAATTTTTTTTGGTGATGGCATGTTCAGAATCTTGGATCCCTAAGTTGAATATGTTGGAAATATTTAGGAACTCTGGAAATTACTGTTTTGTGTATATAATGACTTACTAGGTGAATCAGTAGATTTAATAAAAAAGTATATAAAAGAATAGGCATTATAATTTTGTGTTTCTAAGTTGACATGCATGTCTCAAATTCTCATCTATCACTATTAGTGTCATTCCCTGGAGACAGTTATATAATAATTTGAAGATTTGGGGGTTTTTATGGACCCCATGTTTTCCCCGGCAGTTTATGTAATCCTCCTGTGCCAATTTGGTCAGCTCCTTTTCCTTTCTATCTACCTTGCCATGTAGCTTACTTAGATCAGAGGTAATTATTGATCAGGAGGAGATCAAGTGACAATCCTAGAGGTAGTAATTACAGAATTTCAGCCTGGAAATGACCTCAGAATGGTCTGTATTAGAATATGTAAATTATATCCAAATACACTTGTGACCAGATGCTGCTGATTTTCGAATTGGATATTGTTATGTAGGACAGAAGTGCTAATGAGGAGGAAAAAGAGCTGTTCTGTTTCACCTCCTCCCTCTCTACCTGTTGTTGGGTGCATGAATTAGTGGAAAGTAAGATGGCCAAGGGGTAGACAGTATAAATGGAAAGGAGAAAAAACAAAACCTGAATCTCCAAGAAGGAATACTTTCCCTTAAAAATTTGAAAGTTAGCTCTATTCCAAGTACCTGAACACACTATTTTAAAACCATAGGCTCACTTTCGCATAGACCCAGAATGTGAGTGAACTAGGGTGTGCTTGTCCAGAGGGAGAGCTGGAGAACTTGTTATCTGACAGGAGAGTCAGTGCTTGGGTGAGTCCGTGGTTGTCTGCTCGGATGAAGAGGTTTGAGGAGCATCATGGGGCAGTTATTTTGATAGTCAAATACAACAGCCTTCCTATCCCTTTGACCAAAACTGGGGAAGGATTGCTTTTTAAGACTGTGTTTAGAACAGCTTGAAAAAGGATCATAGGGAAAGGCTGAGGAGAATTCAGGGCTATAAAGACTGAGTGGTAGCTCAGTAGAATGTTCATGTATTTGCTTATTGCAAGTTTTATCGTTGGTAGATTATCCAATAATGTGGAAGTTTGTGTACCATCAAAGTTTTCATAATGTTTCTACTGGAAGGCTTCTAGAAGCTAAATAAGATACACTGTAGCACCGCCCCCCCACACACACCCCTTTGCTTTGCTTTATTTTAAGAGGATTTGACTGATCCGTATTTAATAGATGACACAATGAAAACATTAGATTTTTAAAAATCAAGTTACATTTTAATTTCAATGTGTGTTGCCTATTTGCTGCTTTCCCATTACAATTGGCTTTTTAAAAACTCTCCTTCTGTGATACTTTTGTCAATAGAGGTGTTTCCTCTTAGCCAATTCTAGCCACAGTATTGACTGGGCCTCGGCATTTGATATACCCAGAAGGAATTAGACAGGCAGGAAAAAACTTGGTCTCTACTGGAATGAATATTTTAAAAGCCTTCTTAGATTCTGAACACTTTGAGTACAAAGGAAAGAGACCCAAGAGAGGGAAAAATGTAAGAGCCCAAGAATAAAAAATGCTGGTGGGGGTGGGGGATCAACTCTTACACAGCTAACCCAAGTGTCATAAGGGAAGGAAATGAAGTTCCTGGAGATGAGGAGGCAGTTTATAAAATCCCGGGACAGCAGGCATTCTGATAATCAGTTGGGTAGTTCACACTAGCGGGGCAGTAGTATTTTAAGGCTAGTGACAGGTGATCTGGGGAAATATTAATGTATTTCCTAACAATGAGTTTGGTTTTTATTTTAGTGTGTTATAAATGGGTATGCAGCTCAAAGATGAACATAATTCAAGATAAGTATCTTCATTCTTAGAGAAGATACAATAAAAAATGGATCTTTTGTCCCTATCATTTACTTTAGAAAGTAATGTAGAATATGGGGCATAATAGAGAATTGATGGCATGAATATAATCAGTATTTGATGGAAGCTGTCTAGAAACTTCTAAGTAAAACCTTACATTTAATGTTGTCCTTAGTTGTACTGTAACAATTTTGGTGGGAAAATGTGTACCTTCTTGGGTCACCGTGCTCCATAGACTGGCACATCACTGTGAAAGTTTAGAAATCTGACTCCGTTTACCCCAGGGAGGAACACAGATCTTCATAAATATGGGTACAGTAAGTACGTAGGGACCCACAGAGAAGGTGAGCCTAGAACAATGAATGGTTCTTTGTATTTTGGTACTTTTCAACCCCCTTTTGAAAATCCGAAGGTAACTATGGATCCTTTCTCCAACAAGACTGCAATTTCTGAGGGTAGAGGGACTGCCCTTGGTTGTCAGGTCAGGAAGCCCTGATCTAAAAGATCATCTTCATTTTTCTTCTGACCTTGCTCTGACTTTATTGTCACTCTCTGTCAGGGGTTCTCTGTCGCCTTTGAAGGGAGCTTCAAATCTTGAAGGACACTTACTGCCTTACACATTGAACTGAAGCCACAAGTCCGGAGCTTTGTAATAAAATGGAGCAAACCTTGTCCACAAAGAGCTGCCCCACAAGTACAGTGGTAAAAACAGAGCCTGAGGCATGAAGGTGTGGCACGGCCTCCGAGCGAGTACCTGCTTCCTGCTCCTGTAGGGGCATTTATTCCATAGGAAGTTGAATATTAATGTTTTGTTTTTAAAAGAAGCATATTTCTTTTAAGAACTCTAATTATTTTAAAGGTTTTCTACCGAAGTGTGGCTTTCTCCTCATGTGTTAGGATGTCACATTAATGGTGTAAAATGTGTACTTCAAATTAACACAGTAACTGGGAACTTGGGATTCTGTTACTTTGTGACTCTGAAATTTATAACACGTTTTCAGGAAAATTGTTGATTCCCAGATAATTCATTCTTAACTCCTTTCAGCTTCCTGAATGTATGATTGTTTCTGAACCTTATTAAGCCATTTATAAGAGTAGACAAAACTGTCTTCAGTTCTTATTTTGACACGGAATGGATACATTTGATTTATCTTATTAGAAATGTGTTTTGACAGAAAATTCTATTTGAGTGGCTCTAATCTTCATTTTGGAATGTCAGATACCCTGCTTGTTATGTTGTTCATTGGGACTTTCCTGCAAAATACAGCTTCGCTGAGAAGATGATCCTTGAAAAATCAAGAAGTCTGAAGAAACTAATTTGGGGACTGAGTAAAGAGATGGAAAAGCATCGTCAGACTGACAACGCAGCACACTCTGGAAACATCTTAGACTGCATTGCTTTTGTACATGAACCAATTTGTCTGTGTTATGAACTGGACCTATATAGAGAGAAAACCACCTCATAAAATGTAATATAAGAAAACACACTTTGGCCTCTAAAAACATTTCTGTCAGAACAGTCTGCTCTTGACTGCTCACACTGATGGAGGGAGCCTGGGTCATTGCACTTGACTGAAAGTTAGACATCATGTATTCTGGATTTGAAGGTGTTTATAAATTTCCTCTTGGAATATAGTGTTCGGGGCTTTTACAACATCTGTCTCCCATGTGCCTTTCATGTCCCCTGAGAAAGGAGCCTGAGCTGTGTGTGCCCTGATGCTTGTTCTCGGTCCATCTTTCTCGGCACCGTGGACTTAAATGTGAGGAAAACATGGAGCATGTAGGGTTCCAGCATCCTGTTAAATCTATCCCGCTTATCCCTTCCAGGTAGTTGTGTTACATTTCCCTTTCAGCTCTTCTAAATGTGGCCCAATTTTAGCCCCTTGCTTAGGTCAAGGTACTGTTTCAGGCTTCTTCCTTCCCATTGTCGTGTTTTGTTCTGGCCGCGATGGGAGGATGGCAGTTGCCTTACTGTAAGAGTCCACTTGTGTCCTTTCATTTTCATCTCCCTTCCTGCATGTTCTGGTCTAGAAATAAAACAGATCTAGAGTCGGGGATCCGGGCTGCGTGAGGTCTGCCTGTATACACTCACAGCACTGAATTTAATATACAGCCTTTTAGCTGCGGTGTTGACAGTAGTCTCTTTTGTATCTCTGCCCTGTGCCGGGCACTTTGCTGCGTGTGGCGGTCCCCTCTTCCTCTGCACCACCGCATTCTCTTGAGGCCAAGACTAGACCTCATGGTGCCGTAGGCACAGGGAGAACCGCAGCTGACCTCTGTGTTCCTGGGGTCATGAGTTAATGAGGTAGTAGTTGAAGAGAGATCCTGGGGTCCTCCACTGGACTCGAGTCACAGCAGATCATGTGCAGAGAAAGTCATCATGTCCATAGGATTTTGACAAATTTGTCAAAAAACAGGCCAAATTTCAGGTTAACTATGAACCCACATTGACTATCCTGGTGTGTCTTACTTAAAAAAAAATAAAAAGTATCACTTAAAAACATTATCATATTACCGTGACATGCAAAATGTGATATTACTCAACAAAATTTTTACAAGTAGCTTTCAGAAACGTGCAAATATGTTTTGTGTAAAAGAGTATACACTGTGTGTAATAATTTTCTGATTCTCGCTCTAATAAATATTAAACTTAAGTGGTCTCAGTATTTAAAACCTAATAGTTTGAAAATATTTTTTGAGTAAAATTTTAAAGTATATAATTTACTTTTCATGTAATGTGCAAGTATTCTTAGAATACTTGTTTTCCACATGTGAAACTACTGTGAACAGGGTCTGTGTCTTCAGTAAGAGTTTCTGAAGCTTTGGCTGTAATTAACCAAGTGCTTGGGATTGGGCTGGCTGGAAATGCATATTGAGCTTTTCTGTGTATGTAGCAAACTTTGTCCAAATAAAGTAGCTTTGTACCCTGAAGGAGCTTTTAGTAATTAAATTTTTATTAAATATGGGCAAGTTAAAGAAGAAGACATGAACAAAAGGATCTGTAAGTGAGAGTCTAAATTAGTGGTTTGCAACCTTTTGCTGTCGAAGGTAACAGTGGTAGTGAGTCGGTGGGAATGGGGTAGGGGCGGGCTTTGTCATTTGAAGAGAAGAGAAAGACACCCATGTGGCATCAATAGTGGTGCGGTGGGGTCAGTGTGTGTGAGCTGTGCTCTGTTGGCCTGAATCCAAGGTCAAGGAAGCTTGGTACTAGAAGTCTATCCCCACAGTTCCTGAATGACCAGCAGAGGATGGGTGCCAGGTGGAGGCAAAATAGAAAAAAGAAAAACAAGGACAGGCTAGGGACTTCAAAATTTGTTTTTTTTTTTTTCAGTTGAAGAAATTGTCCTTTTAAACGTTTATGTCATTCCCTCTATTGTATACCCTTGGTAAAATAAAAGGCTTGCCATGTCAAATTAGTTCTCTAAAGATATTTTTAAAAATTTATCGGCCTGTAAAATCAAAAGGCTGTGTGCTGCAGGTTCTTGGAAATGTGCAGGATTAACATACTAAGGTCCCAGTTGTTTATCCTGCAACGCATAGTTCACAGGACACTGATTGATGTGCCAAAGAACAGTTTGGGCAGGTTTAGATAATTACTTCAGCATCGCTGTATAGTGGGAGTCACTGTCTTAAAAAGCCTAATTAAGGTAGTTAAGGGGTCCCTGGCTGGCTCAGTTGGTAGAGTAGAGCATGTGGCTCTTGATCTTAGGGTGGTGAGTTCAAGCCCCATGCTGGGTGTAGAGACTAATTAAAAAAAAAAAAAAGTTAAAAGGACAGCTAGTATCATCCTGTTTCAACCAACTGTTGACCAAAAACTCATTCTGTAAATCTCTCATACAGATTTCCAATAGTTTTATGTGAAGATAAACCTCAAATAATGCAAAGATCCGCTACAATGCAAACTCTGAGGAAATCATTTATACTACTTTGCAGATAACTTTTCAACCTGCAAAATAGTCACCAACCTGCAAAAAATTCTACACTAATAAATGACGAGAAACAATGCAATGGTTGTAACTTGTGTTATTTCTGCTTATCTCCAATAACAAGTTTAAGATTGACTCTATATACCATCGTCTTGTGTGACTAGACCACTTTTTTATATCTCATCCACCTATGTGCTAGCTATATATGTATGGAATGTGTCGAGTAAGTTTTCAAGAAAGATACTGAGATTTCTTCCTTTGGCATCTAAAGATGAAGGTTGGTATCCTTCCTAAATGGGTGCTTGTAGGCAAGTTCAGAGGAAGTCCGTGGCCTCTAGTCATGGTTTCCAGTACTTCCTTAATGTCGGGGATGTTGCAGATTTCTTACCAAATTGCTCATTAGGGAAAGCTTGCCATATTCTGCATCGTTTTTCTTAGGAGACCCAACTTTGAATTACTAAACCCAGGGCTAAGATTAGTGAGGCAGACACTTGCTTTCTGTATTCACTGGGACTTGAAAGCAAGAATGAAATTACTAAATAAAAAACTGGTTTGAGGGATATTTTGGTCTTCATTTGCTGTGTGCTTCACATCCTTTCCCCCCCGGTGGGAAACTCAGCAAGGGCTTGTAAATTTCTCAGTACTGGAGGGCATCACTTTGCCATGAAAATTTTGGGTTAAATATTTTGAACACTCTCAATTATGTAGCAGAGAAAAGATTATAAATAGATACACACTGATTTAAGTCATTTCATCTAAAGTATGACATGACCAAAAATTAGAGATTTGCCATTTTGTATTTGGAAGAAAAAACACAAATTACTTACCGTGGATCTTTGATGACCGTTACAATCAGGAAATTTAGTTTCTCTCTCTTGCTGATGTTTCTTTCAGTCTTGCCCCAAACCAAGTTACATTTTTAGTCAAATCATACCTCAGAACCTTTCCGTTAGGAATTAGGATTTTCTTTAGCTCCTGAGTGGCTCTCAGTGACCATTCCAGGACAGCTTTTGACCTAAAAAAGCCGCAACACAGAATGAGTTATGCAATTTTAAAAGCCCCACTTGTGGGATATTCTGGAAAATACTGAAATATTCACATCACTGTAAGATAGTTTCCTACTTTCAGAAATGAGAATTATCCTTAAGTACTAGGCCAAGTGAAGGCGAATGTGTGGTTCACGGCTCGCTCTGTCTCCGGCTGTCCTTGTTGGGTCTGATTCAGCATACTTCCCGTGTGGGGGCTGGGTGGCACAGTGTCTGAGCACTGGAGCTTCTTGGTGATTTTAGGAAGTCAGGCAGGTGTTGGAGGCCTTGCTTTTCACATCTACCAGCATAAGCAATTCCAGTTTGCTTGCTTTTTATGTAACATCTAAGAAGTCACTGTAGCAAACTGTAGTTTCTCCCTTCCTCTAGATTATAATTTTTAGATTTTTATCTGTTTAAGAAGTAAGCTTAATTCCATAGCTGCCATTTCCTTGGGGGGGAAAAAATGCCAGCAGCCGCTGACCTAGAATTCCATCTTGTACTCACTATTATGTAAGACTTAAATTCTGATTTAAAAAAATGATAAATTTGGTCATCCGAGTGAAGCAAGAGTGTAAAGGTCTTTTCTCTCCCCTTTCCATCACTAGTCTCCTGCCGTTCAGATCCTCTGGCCCCCACTGGTAGTGAAGCTGATGATCACCTGAAAGGTTTGAAATTCAGAGCAAGAGTCCGAAAACGGGGATAGCAGGGAACTGGCACTGGGACAGGGTAGAAATCCTCAAAAGTGCGACACCCACTGGGCCAGGCTACCGGTACTGTTGGTTTATCCTCATGTTTTTATGACTGAGCGGACCAGGACTGAGCTCTGCACGTTAACTCTTGCCTCTTCCAGCCCTGTTTTCATCCTTACCTTCTTCTTGGTGGAAACCCGAATTCTCGAGAACGAAAGGTTTCAGCACATGTGTACACTGGTGCCTGCGTGGGCATCAAATTATGAGTGGGCAGAGGCTCTCAGTCGTTAGACTCAGCTGACTCGAAAGACCACATATCTCAACACTCGCAGTTGCCACTTGCCATCCTTGCTTCCTGTTTCTCCCCACCTTTCTTCAGGGTGAAAGTCTACAGCAAAATAATTTTCGCAAAAAGCTATTTGGTAGGGGAACTTGAGAAGCCTGTTGGACAGGCCATTGGAGTCAATCATTCATTCCTGCAGCATAGTGACAGGCGCTGTTCCCGGCTCTTTGGGGAAACAACACACAAAGCGCGGAGTTCACACTGTAGCGCAGCTACACGGACCCAGCCTGTGAACGACCAGCCCGTGCCTGACCAGCCCGTAGAACACGTGGCAAAGAGCAGAGCGCGTGCGCTCAGGACGCTGCCGGGGGTGGGCGGGGCAGGCCTGCGTGTTCAGGGAGCGCAGAGTAGACCTCGCTGGGAAAGCGAGATTTGAGAAACGGTGTGTGTCTAGTTTGGAACTGACCGGCAGGCTTCGCTAAGGAGGCGAGAAAACAATCCTGGAGGGTTTCCAACGATTGTTTACCACTTTTGCAGTCACTCCGTACTGGAAGCCCTCGTTGCATCCAAACGCAGCCGCGCACATTCCTCCTTGTTTTTGCTACTGTCATTTCTCCTGCCTCGATTTTTCTTTTCCGGGGCCCGGCCCACATGGCCTCTCAGTGACATGATTTGGGGAGGTGGGCGTGATCATAACATGCAGCTAGACTGTATGGCAGATTTGATACTCCAGGAGTGCAGGGGTCCCACTGAGGAAGAAGGATGGGCTTTTAGAAGGGGGCCCTCGGGGACGCCTGGCTGGCTCAGTCCATGGAGCATGCGACACTTGATCTTCGGGTCATGAGTTTGAGCTCCATGTCGGGCGTAGAGATTACTAAAAGTAATGAATCAACTTAAAAACAAACCAGCAAGGGCCCTCGGGGGCTGGCTGTGTTTATTCCAAGGGGGTCTTAGGAGGACAGGCCAGGTAGAGGTAGCACCAGGAGCTAAAGCAGGCCAGGGCGAGCAAGGTCAAACTTAAGGGTGATTAAAATGCTACAGATCATGGAGGCCCCCAAAGTTCATGCTGAAGAGTAGCGGTTCCATTCTACAGGTGGGAGGGGACCAGGGCTGTTCTCTGTGGCTTCTCCCATGTGGGACTTTCAACTGGGCGTGGGCCAGAATTGTTGGTTCCCCTGGGTTTGCAGTTTCTAATCTCTGAGAATTAAGAGAGGGAAGACAGAGAAGGTGGTTGGTAATCATTCCTCTCTTCTGTCTCTCAATCCCTGTTTTTCCAAAATGCAGATAACTTTTTCTCATAAAAAGGATACGACTTATAAAAATTCAAATAGTGCCGGAAGACAAAAAGGGCAAAGTTCACTATCTCACTACTGTTAATATTCTGATCATCAGCAGTTTGGACTTCTCCTTTATCCGTGCTCATGGCATCCTTTGTAACAGCGGCTCTGTGTGGATGCAACCAACTAACTCCCAATGCTGAAAATTCCGTGGCTTACAATGTTCATTATTCAGCTTCTTTCCCGTTTTTCACTCTTATAAACTTGGCTTCCGATGAATATCCTTCTGTATAATATCTGTACTTACCCAATTATCTCCTTGGTGTAAATGATGGCCACATCCAAAAATCGGGATGCCTAGAACGGGGGGATACACAATAGCAGAAGTTGGTACAGACATTACCATTGAGCACTTGGTGTGCCCACGTGTGCACTTTTCAAAGCACTTTAGTAGCAACTAATGTCTCCAGCTCTGCATAAAACATGGCGAGGTGGGGTGGGGTTAGAGATGGTGCTCTCTCCTTTGGGTGGGTGAGGTGGGACTCGTGTCTCTCCTTGGCACTGCTGTCACATCGGGAGTGCCTTCGGCTCACAGAGCACCTTTGCAGTCCGCTTTCAGAACACCGACTCCAAGGCCAATGCCAGCAGAAGCTTTTTGGACTACAAGATGATGAGCACATATGAGGCCAAACTAAAAATGGAACTTTCTAGCTTCCTCGCATGAAACT